CTACCTTGTATTTGCCCTTGAACTATTCCTTGTTTTCACAAGGGTCGTACCTGTTGATAATAAGACGAACTAGGCCATACATCTGTATGCTCCAAATATATTGCAACATATGAAGAGTTCAGATGCAAAACCCTCTAAGTGCAATTTGAAATTTTCTTCTAAAATTAGCATTTTTATTAAGCTCCTATTAAAGTGAAATAACTAAACATAAACAGCCTGAGAAAATGCAAATTTTAGGAGAAAATTTCAAATTGCACTTAGAGGTTTTTGCATCTGAACTCTTCATATATTTAAAGTATCATATGGTATCATATGGCAGATGGGAAAGTGTTCAGGAAACCTGTTTGAAATAATCATTATTTTTGGAGTTCAGTGTGTTGCAACTGGTGGTTCATAAATAAAACCCCTGGTAAAAAAAAAAAAAAAGTCCTATGCTGTAATTGATTTAAAATACATTTATTTCATGCTAAGTATACTTCAAATCCATTAACATATTTATTGATTTATGCATCAATAAATGGGAATTATGGGACAGTTCACCTTTAATTTTATTTATGGGTAGACAGGAAGTGAGTAAGAATGAGGGGATTGTTATAAACTAATTTTCTCCACTCTTTCTATCTGTCTGATGGAAGATCTTTAAAGAACACCTGAACACACGTGTGGTGCTGGTCGCTGTGGAGATCTGGACGGACAAGGATCACATTCCCGTTAGTGTGGTTCCATTCGAAATGCTGCGAAACTTTTCCAAATACCGGCAGCAGCACATCAGGCAGCACGCAGATGCAGTGCATCTGTTCTCGTGAGTTCTTATCTGTTCATATTAACTGCTCACACACACACACACACTCACATGTGTGGAAGTCAAGTGTGCATAACACAACCCTCTGTGTGTGTCTGCAGTAACGTGACGTTTCACTATGCTCGGAGCAGCCTAGCGTATTTTGGAGGGGTGTGTTCTGTCAGTCATGGGGTTGGTATCATTGAGGTGAGTGAATTACATGGAGACTGACTGACAGCAAACGTCCAACTCCTCAAAAAGATATCGAAAGGACATTTTATATATAGGAGTGAACACTACAGCTTATTTTACACAGTCACCTTACTCTCAGTGTACCAAAGTCACATAAAATGTCTTCAAAAATTACATTAATATTCAAACGTTTGGGGTAGGTAAGATTTTTTTAAATGTTATTGAATCTCTCATGCTCACCAAGACTGAATGAACTTTTTATAGAACAGTATAGAACTTTTATTATTATTAATATTGAAAACAGTTGTGCTGCTTCGTTTTTTGTGGAAATCATGATACTTTTTTTCAGAATTATATGCTGAATAGAAAATTCAAAAGAACAGTATTTATTTCAAATATAAATCTGTTTGACACAATTATAAGTGTCTTACTGTCACTTTTGGTCAGTTTAAAATGTCATTGCTGAATAAAAGTATTGATTTTATTCAACAAAAGGAAAGACAATCTTACTGACCCTAAACTTTTTAATAGTGCATTAAATTACTGAATGTAAGGCTATAATAACAATTTTCAACTTTTTACCATTGCGTTTAATCATCCGAATGTACATTATGAAAATTATGACTCAAATCACATCATATACTGTACATCCTTGTAATCTAAATCGACCATTCTTATTTTGTTATTAATTTATTACTTTTTTTAAATATTGCAAATAATTTATCATTGCACATAATTATTTTGACAATTAATCTGCCCTTGTAATATTTAATTAAAAAAACAAACATAAAATTCCCCTCCCCGCGCAACAACGATTCAACGATCCAATCAATTCCCAAAGTCCAAGCCTTTCACTTTTTCTCATTTGGGAAGCTGTTTCACTCATATACATCACAACAGGGAAAAAGAGCAATTGCAACTTCCATTTCATTCAAACGTTAAACTCAAATGAAGTGTATGCTTTCATAGTTGCTTTATTCGTGTGTGTGTGTGTGTGTGTGTGTGTGTGTGTGTATGTGTGTA